AGAACTACTATGCTAGATAATGCGCGTATGTCTGTGGGCATGTGTGTATGTGTGTGTGCCAGTGAATTTTTTTTCCTAAATATAAAAGTCACACATGCACATTGTAACAAACAAATTTCGCAAAATAGAAATCTAAAGTTTGGCCGGGTGCGGTGGCTCACACCTGTAATTCTAGCTCTCTGGGAGGCTGAGGCAGGTGGATTGCTCGAGGTCAGGAGTTCGAAACCAGCCTGAGCAAGAGCGAGACTCCGTCTCTACTATAAATAGAAAGAAATTAATTGGCCAACTAATATATATAGAAAAAAAAAGAAATCTAAAGTTCATCATAATTCTGCTTTGCAGAGATAACCACTATGGCCATCTTTATGCTACTACAGCATTTCTTTATGCATGTCCAAAAATCTATATATTTTTAAAAATGGAATAGTAGTTTTACAACTTGTTTTTTTCCACTAGGTAGTGCTGTAGATATCTTTTCATATCACTAGGTCTAAGTATACTTCATTCTTTTCAATAACTGCATAGTATTCCATTCTATTAATATATCATAACTTAAAATAAATCAATCCCCTAATTAGATATTTAAACTGTTTCAAAATTTTTAGTTTCATAAGTGAGGCTGTGATCAACCATCCATGTTTATGAATCTTTGTATGCATGAGTCCTTACACAGGTAAACTCCTAGGAGTAGAATATAGCTTGACTGAAGGCGACATAAATTCTTTTAAATTCCCATTACAGCCCTATGTGATAGGTATTATTTCCTCCTCCTTTCACAGAACAGGCAAACAAGGCTCAGAATGGCTTCACAGCTTTGCTAGTAAGTGAAGCTGAACTAAACTTCAGACCCAGGTCTAGCTGAGTGCAAAACATACTTTTCCTACCACAAGACACGGATTCACATGCAGGAGGGAGAAAGAGGATTCAACTGAACTGGGGTGCAGGGCCCTCAAGCCGGGGGACCTCCAGATGTCCCATGTGGGGAGGACCTGGGATTGGAGCATGGAGAACACCTGTGTGACCACAGCCAGAGATGTCACTGTGCTGTGCTATGCTCTGGGGTGGCTCCAGGTCAGGGCTTCCCAAGGTTTTTCATCTGTAACACAACCATAAACACTCTACACCAGTGTTTTTCAAACTTTTGATTACATAACTCAGCAAGACCAACATTCCGCCTTGTGACCAGGATGCATAGACCTGTATACAAGTGAAACAAACTGTCATAAGACAACACTTATATTTACATGTAATGCATTATAACATTTTCTCATACATAAAAAAAAAAATAATAATAAAGTCCCAATTTGAAAACTGCACTAAATTCTGGTAAAGACTGTCTTTGTCTCCCCAGGCAGGTGGGCAGGTAAAAAGATTAAGGTTCGAATTCCTCATTCCGGTGTTCAAGTTCCTCCACGAGCTGGTTTCCTTCCCCGGCTCACCTCGGCCAGTTCACACGCATTGGGTGCAAAGACACCTCACAGCCTGGCCAGGCTCAATCTCGCCTCCCACGTTAGCTTGCCACGGCTCCCCTCTTTGGGGAAAGCTCTGTTCTGACAAAATGTGAGCCAGCATGAAATCCAGTGCCCTTCAATCCATGTTTGACCTGTATAGCTTGATCATTAAAATGGTCATATTTTTTTCCCTAAATATTCAAGGAGGGGCTCATTCATTTTCCAAGAGCCTCCCTTAAATGTTAAAATATTCTTGCCATTCTTTTTCAAACCCATCTATCATGTTATCCTTCTAGAAGATTTGCATTTTCCCTCTGCTATCCATTTGCTGTGCTCCAATGTTTACAACACTGTTTCAGTGACTAACGTGAAGATGAGAGGGATGTTTGAATGAGGACTGATTTCGTAAGTCAGCGTTAGGTTACTTGTCAATCTTTTTTGCAGAGGCTTTAATAAAGAATACCAGGGTAGGCCAGGCGCTGTGGCTCACGCCTATAATCCTAGCACTCTGGGAGGCCGAGATGGGCGGATTGCTCGAGGTCAGGAGTTCAAAACCAGCCTGAGCAAGAGCGAGACCCCGTCTCTACTATAAATAGAAAGAAACTAATTGGCCAACTAATATATATAGAAAAAATTAGCCGGGCATGGTGGCACATGCTTGTAGTCCCAGCTACTCGGGAGGCTGAGGCAGGAGGATCGCCTGAGCCCAGGAGTTTGAGGTTGCTGTGAGCTAGGCTGAAGCCACGGCACTCACTCTAGCCTGGGCAACAAAGTGAGACTCTGTCTCAAAAAAAAAAAAAAAAAAGAATACCAGGGTAGTGAGGGTCCTCTGCAACTTTCTCCATTTGGCCTTTCCCTTTCTGCCCCACCACAAAATACCGGCCCCTGTCTCGAACCCATCCGGCATATGCCATGGAGTTCACCTGAGGCTCTGCTTTGCCAGCACGGGGAGAAAATATGGGGGAACTGCATATTCACTTGATTCATTTGTAAGTTTCATAAGCGTCAAGATTTGGAAAAGACAAAAATGCATTGTCATGAGAACGACAGAGAGCTTCTGAAATCCAGTATTTTGGGAAAAGACTGTGTAAAGTGAACATCTTTTGCTCCACGCTTATCTTAACCATTTGGGATTTGGGGAAACAGTTTCCAGGATTAATTGCTTCAGTAGGAAAACTGCAAAGATGCTCTCACCTAGGTACCTTGTGTATTACATCTTATCATTCCACTTATTTGAATATGCACTTTTAAAAAACGATTTCCCCCTCAATTATGGCAGATATATATTAACACTTACAGGCAAAAGCTAAGCAACACACTCAAATGATCTACACCCATTTTTGTGATTATTACTGATAACATAATTCAGGAAGCAGAAGCATGTTTTAAATTTGATTTTCTTACCTTGTACTCTACAGAACTGGACAAAACACTAAAGTACACTTAAAGCTTCCTCCAAAAGGAATGGAAAATGTTTTTTCTCCAATTAGACAGAAGTTACTGCAGTAAATAATTCTCATTGTGCCTCAGATGGACCAATTATTTTTCTTCTCATAATTGGTGTTTAAAAATTATCAAAGTAATACATTCGTATAGTCTATAAAGTATAATATTGACTTCTTTTTCTTTTTCTTTTTTTGTGAGACAGAGTCTCACTCTCTTGCCTGGGCTAGAGTGCCGTGGTGTCAGCCTAGCTCACAGCAACCTCAAACTCCTGGGCTCAAGCAATCCTCCTGCCTCAGCTTCCCAAGTAGCTGGGACTACAGACATGTGCCACCATGCCTGGCTAATTTTTTCTATATATATTAGTTGGCCAATTAATTTGTTTCTATTTATAGTAGAGACAGGGCCTCATTCTTGCTCAGGCTGGTTTCGAACTCCTGACCTTGAGCAATGGCCTGCCTCGGCCTCCCAGAGTGCTAGGATTATAGGCGTGAGCCACCGCGCTGGCCATGGCTAATCTTTTCAAGTTGTCCAGCTAATTTCTTTCTATTTTTTTGATAGAGACGGGGTCTCGCTCTTGTTCAGGCTGGTCTCGAACTCCTGAGCTCAAATGATCCACCCACCTCAGCCTCCCAGAGAGGTAGGATTATCGGCATGAGCCACCGGACCCCGGCCCTACTATTGACTTCTTAACGGTAGGATATTAGGATTTTGACTTTCTTCCCAACTTCTTCCTCACAATACAATGCACTTTCCCCTGACTCCTAATTTCTCAATGGGTATTCTAAAACATTAAATCAATATTCAATATTTATATTATTCAATGACTGTGTAAATACTGTTCACTGTAGTATACTCTCATGGCATTTCCTTTCTTAGACATCTTTTTGTTTTCCTGTCGTTAGTAATTATCTTTTTTGTTTTCATTTACTAAGATTTCTAGGTACCTATCACTATCACCGTACTGTCCAAGAGAACTGTAAAACTGCTCTCACACAACTCGGCTCCCTGTTATTGTCCTCGGCAGAGTTCGTTCCTTGGTCCTGCTCCATAGCATGAGGCTTCATCGCCAAGCCTATGCAAGGCTGGGGTTCTGGGGCTGCTTTTAATAATACCATCATTTTGGAAATTCTCTCCCCCTCTTTTCTGTTTCCTGGGTCCTCTGTTCTCTTATTTTTGTGAAATATATCTTCTAGAAACTTTCTGAGAAAGGGTGCACAGTTGGTAAAATTTTTGAGACTATGTTTTATGAAATGTCTTTATCTTACCCTCTCACTTGATTGAGAGGTTGGACATAATTTCCCCTCAGAATGTTAGAAGGCATTTCTCCCTTGTTTTTTAGTTCCCCATATTAGCTTTAAGTTTCAAATTATTCTGTCTTGATCCTTTTGTCTTCTTGCCCCTTTTCCCTAGCCACACCCAAAGCTTTTAGAATCTCCTCTTTATCTCGGGTTTTCAGTTACACTATGTAAAGTTTTTATTGAAGAATAACATACTTACAGAAGAGAGCACAAATCATAAATACCAACCTGATGGATTTTACAAAATGCACAAACATCTTGCGTAACTAATATCCAGAGTAAGAAACAGAAAACTACCAAAAGCCCATTTTTAGGCACCACCTGCCCCTAGTGGGAACCACTATTATAATTCCCAGTGTCACAGATCAGTTAGCCTGTTTTTGAATTTTTATAGACATTAAATCATAAAAAAAATTGTATTCCTAAAAAAATGTACTCTTTTGCTCCTGGTTTCCTTTGTTCGCCATTGCTTTCGTCAGATTCACCCATGTCCTTGGGTGTAGTAGCAATTGATTCATTTTTATTCCATTGTATGAATATACTAATTTATCCAATTTTAATGTTGATGAACTTCATTGTTTCCAGTTTGGGGCTATTACAAAGATAGGGCTGTCACTGTTTTTGTACATGCCCTTTGCTGAACAGATGTATGCAGTTCTGTTGGGTAGTGTGAGACTTTTTTTTCATTTTTTTGGCTGGGGACTCTGAACCTTTTAAATCTGAATGTTTACTTTCTTCAGTTTGGTGAAAATTTCTGGAACTTACTTCTTTGATGATGATTTCTCCCTCCATCCCATTTTTACTTTTTTTTTTTTTTTTTTACAGCAGCCTGTATCTGTATCCATCCCATTTTTACATTTTATTTTTGACCCATCTCCTGTCCTTTTATCATCTACAATGCAGTCACACCCCAACGTTCTAAGACCAGACAGTCTCCTGCCCAGAGGCCGGGATTACAATGAGACCCTGAAGACACACGAGGGCGAATGCCGAACATCAGAGTTCCAGCGGGAGGTCACACACCCTCTACTCAAACCCGCGCCGATGCTCTTCATTTCAGTTTGTTAAAGAAAGTGTTGTGCAGGAAGTTCTTTGAAATAATTTCATCCCAGACACCAGGTGTCTTGGATGATACACAGCTCCATGGAATTTGCTCCCATCCAATTGATAGGAATAAAAAGTAATTTTAATTTTTGTCTTTTTTTTGGTGCATAGAGAAGTGAAACTATCGTTTATTAATGGATTCCTTTAGTAATAAATGTGGAAAAGGAGAGGAAGGAAAAGATCTGGAATTTGTAGGATGCTGATTTCTACCTACGTTTCTGAGGGTGTGACTTCAAAAGAGTTCAAGCGCACTTACACCACTGTAATAATTAGTACTAGCGATCTTTTTTTTTTTAGATGTTAAAAAGGAAAATACTCAATGGACATAATAATAGTCAAAAGGTTCTTTACTGCACATCTATTCCTCCCCCCCTCCCAACAAAAGACACAAAATGAACATATGATTGGGATGGCAACTCCGTCAGACAATCCAATTCACAGGGCCACTTGCCCCTCATACAGGTGAGGGGAACAGGTGTTAGGTTTTATTAGTCATGTTCTATCAGGAGGCAGATGTGTTGTTAATGGCAGCTTATTGGCGATCCATGTATTCTCTGAACACGTGTAGAAAAGCATGGCTGTCGTTCGCCAATGTCCCACATCTGAACACACTCAGCTACCATGGAAACTACAAAGGAAGGAAACATATATTTATCCTAAAATTCATTTACTGGGATTTTTAGGCACCCTTTCCCCTATAGAGTCCCAGAGTGTGGGAATGTGCTAGGGACTGCTGTGTTTTCCAGCACGAGCTTCATCCTCTGAGGGTCTTGGGAAGGATAGTGGATGGTCCTAGAGCCCTCGTGAAAGGAAGGGTGGGCCCACTGGGGGAAACACGTGTGGCCCCAAACCTGGGAGTAGCGGCAGGGCAAGATGGGGGTGGGGGCAGCAGGGCAATGTTCACCGCAGCCGAGGACCACCGTGGGGGCAGGCTGAAATTGTTGGCAGATGCATCATCTGCCGCTGGGAGGAGAAAGCTCCTGGTGGTGATGGAATAGGCTCTAGCTAGGTCCCCAGACCTGTGGTTCTGTCCTCCTCTTTTTCTTTTCTTCTGGCTGCTTGGCTCTTCCCCATTTCACGTCGAGTCTGTGGCCACTGACAATCAACTTTTAGAGGACTTCTCAGCAGCCACAGCCTGCCCTGGGCAAACTGGATGAAAGCGCACTGCCGTCCTGCACAGCAGTGATCGTTAGGATCTCCCCGAACTGGCAGCAATGATTTCTCAGATCCGTGTCAGGAATGGTATTCCCCGGACCACCAGCATCTAGTGTGGCGTTGGTCTTGTCCCCTGGTGGGTCCAGGTGAGGCATGGCTGAAGCCGGCTTGGAAGCTCATCTGCTGCAGGGTCACTTCTTCCATAGCACTGGTCTTAGCATTCTGTTAGCAAGGGCCACCCGGATCTGCAGGCTTCTTGTGTCTGCATAGATGCTCCTCTTTTCTCTGACATTCTCCTTTCACCCAGAAGGAGCCAATGTGGAGCCAGTTCCTTCTGTCGTCGGGTGTGGTCTGGGCCAGTATGAGCAGCATGTCACTGGTGGATGTGGCTTTTTTAGAAATCTCTCTCTGTATTCTATACGTAGTTCCCTCTGCCGACATCTGACGTTGGCACGCCATCTTTAAAAGACATTTCTGCGTCATGAACCTGGATGGGCAGGACACACTCTAAGACGGGGGTGTGACAGACATTCTTCAATTTTCTGCAGGTTTGGCACATTTCAGTCTTCTTGAAACGCATGCAGGCCCCAGGGCACCAGCAAAACACTGAATGGCCTGGCACAGATTTTGCATTTCTTCCTGTACTTTCTTTCTCTCTCTTTTTATTTTGGTGTCTGATTCTTTCATTTCTTAACATGCAGACATAAATGGATCAAAAACTATGTTCACCTAGAAAAACTGACTCCAACCAAAAAAATGCAAAATAGGTTTCAATGAGCTTGTATTTCCTGAGCTTATATTTCCTTAACCCCTAAGGGTTAGTAATGCATTATCCACTTACAGGCCCATGTTTCTGACACAAGCTAAGGGGCTGGGAAAAAAAACACAGAGCTGGGAAAAAAAAAACACCTGCCTGTAGTCCCAGCTTCTCAGAAGGCTGTGGTGGGAGTATAACCTGAACCCAGGAGTTCGAATCCAGCATGGGCAACATGGTGAGACCCTGTCTCTTAAAAAAAAAAAAAAAAAAATTGAGGCTGGGCACGGTGGCTCATGCCTGTAATCCTAGCACTCTGGGAGGCCGAGGCGGGTGGATCATTTGAGCCCAGGAGTTCAAGACCAGCCCGAGCAAGAGTGAGACCCTATCTCTACTAAAAAAATAGAAAGAAATTAATTGGCCAACTAAAAATATATAGAAAAAATTAGCCGGGCATGGTGGCGCATGCCTGCAGTCCCAGCTACTTGGGAGGCTGAGGCAGCAGGATCGCTTGAGCCCAGGAGTTTGAGGTTGCTGTGAGCTAGGCTGATGCCATGGCACTCTAGCCCAGGCAACAGAGAGAGACTCTGTCTAAAAAAAAAAATCGGAACAGCCCCATGTAAATATGGGAAGCCATAGCATCAACGAAACCTACGATTTCTCAGAAATAAATAGGAAGCCTCTAATTCTACCTGGAGAGTGCTTTTCTGGGGATTTCTCAGCATGGGTCTAAATCTCACAAAGCACCTTCAAAAACTGGGCTACCCAGTATCACAAGTATGGCAGTCGGTCCAACAGGCTGGAAATAACGGCCATTTCCATGTAAATAGTGGGAGAAGCTAATCAAGGACCCGATGCTGAGACTGCCCGTGTCCCACGGTTGGAAGAGTAGTTGAACCCCACGTCATTCTCCGCTTCTTGGCAGATGGTGGCTCAGATACATCCGGTACCCCTGCTCCTTCTGTGTAAAGAACTCTGTATTCTGGGCACTCACTCTCTTGGCCCCATGCTGAGTGGAAGGAGGTGGTGACTTGATCCACAGAGTGGACGCATTTGGTACAACCAGAGTGTCCAAAGTTCTCGACCCGCACGACTTTGGGAAGAATGGTTTTGTTGAAGTGATCCTCCAGGGTGGGGGCACTGGGATCTCTCTGTATTCACCCTCATCCATAAAGAAGGCACCCAGGGATGACACTTTTGTAAGAACTTATATTTGTCCTTAAGAGCTTTGTTGGTAATGACTTCACCGTTTGTCTGAAGCTCAGCTCGCTTCTCTTACTGCTTTCTCCTTCTCAAGCACTTCTCCATCTTCTCTGTCCCTCCTGACTCTCAAAAGCTCTCCAACTTTCCATGCCTCGAGTTCGTCCTCGTCACTCCCGTCAGCAGTATGGAGGGCACCGTGCAGCCGGGGACCGCGTGTTCTCCTCCAGCCCGTCCTCGGGCTCCTGCAATCTCGAGCGTGCACTGGCGCCTCTCCCCGGCCAGGAGGTTTGCTTCCTGCTCCGGTGCCTTCTGTTCAATGCTTCAGCCCCACGTTCTGGAACCCTCCCTCGGCCCTTCTTCCCAAAGCAGCCCGGCTTGCTCATGGCGGGGCTCCAGCCCACCTTCTGTGCGCCCAGACTCCGACTCTGCGCGCCCCCAGGACTCCCTCGTCCTCCGCCCCGTGACTTCCCTCTTCACTTTCTCTCTCCTGTCTCCCTGACACACCCACCACCACATGGCTCCATCTTCTCACCCTCCATACCTCCCTCCTCTTCTTCACTGCTACCTCCTCATTCCACGCCCCAGACGTCTCCTACTTCCAAGCTGCTTTCTCCCGTCTCGTCAGCCTCCGGGCTGTTCTGACGTCCAGCCAATCTCTTGTCCCCGTCATCCCTGATCCTGACCTGTAAACGCCGCAGCTGGGCCGCCTACACTCCTGCTCCTCCCTCCTGTTCTTCAGCTCTGCCTCTTGTTCTTCAGCTCTGCCTCTTGTTCTTCGGCTTTTTTTTTTTTTTTTTTTTTTTGAGACAGAGTCTCGCTTTGTTGCCCAGGCTAGAGTGAGTGCCGTGGTGTCAGCCTAGCTCACAGCAACCTCAAACTCCTGGGCTCAAGCAATCCTCCTGCCTCAGCCTCCTGAGTAGCTGGGACTACAGGCATGAGCCACCATGGTCGGCTAATTTTTTCTATATGTATTAGTTGGCCAATTAATTTCTTTCTATTTATAGTAGAGACGGGGTCTCACTCTTGCTCAGGCTGGTTTCGAACTCCTGACCTCGAGCAATCCGCCTGCCTGGGCCTCCCAGAGTGTTCTTCGGCTTTTTTAATAAACATAAATTCCTCGTGCTCCTCATCTGAGAACTCCACAGGGGCACAGTCTGGCCTCTCTCCGTACACATAACGTTTGACCTTCACGCTCTCCGTGGACATCTCCCCCTTTTCACTGCACAGCGGGGTGGCCCAGCACAGCCTGAGTGGGCGGCTGCTTCATGAGCGTGTCTGGGACCAATGTGCTGATGGCGGTGGCAGCGGTTCCCCAAACCCACCGATTCCAAACAGTGAGCTCCGCTTGTTGTGAACACCTGTCAGTGGACACGAAAACTTTCCTTCTGGGCCCACGGACCGCAGCTGCACGTGCTTTTCTTTAGTCATCCAAATACGTGGGTGCAGAATGTGGAGTCCACACGCTCCCAGTCCTGCCTGTTTCAGGTATGGAGCCCAGAGAGGTCGCCGCCTTGAGACCACTCGGAGGCCACAGTTGCTTCCAGGGTGCTAGGAGGGACTCTCCCAGTCCTGGTATCTTCCCTGCAAAGGAGGAGAACTTACAGCTCAGCCACCTGATCAAATCAGACCCATCTAGGAAGTGCCCCTGGTGAATAATTTAAAGATTTGGGACTGACTGCATCAGCCAAGTCCCTGCAGGGTGGCTCCTAAGCTAGCTTCGATGGGGTACCAGGGCCAGGGTGTGCCTAACTTCAACTAGAGCAGGGATTCTAAAGGACTCTAGGCCCCATAGACCCAACTGCAAAATTAATCTGTCAAGTCTCTATAAAGGCACACCTACAATTTCTGAATTTTTTTTCCTACCTCACTGAGAGTTTCCAGTCAAACAGAGGTGTAAAACTCCAGCCTCTATAGAACTAACTGTGGAATTCACAGATATTTCTTCATTCTGGAATCAAAATAGTTTAGGCATGAGGGTCTTTCCCAGGGACAAGACGAATGGCAACCTTGAAGGCAACGCTGCTTGTACTGTCCTTGGTATTCAGACCAAACCTGCCTACAGAGGTTTACTAGCTGGAGGTTGTCTTGGGGAAATGGGCTTCTGAGCCTGGGATGGTGACACTCAATTCCCAGCCAGAGGTACCTGCACCCACGCCTGCAGGTGACTGACATGTAGGTGGATTCCCTGGCCCAGCAGATCCTGGCTGTGTCCCTCTGCCTGGGATTGAACACACCACGTCAGAGGTTCTGATCTGAACCAGCTCCCCACCTGAGTGTCCCTGTCTGCTCCAGAGGTGACACAATGGAAGCCCTCTAGTGACACGGTTGGCCTTCATCCCTGCTTCCTGGCCAGCTACTAAAACCCTAGGGATCTACAGATCGATCTATAAGGGTATCTTTTGTATACTAATGAAATAAATAGTGGCTGAGGACCCTTAGATAGCTTCAGGTTGAAAACTGGTCACCAGAAAGACCAAGGCATGAGTGGAGGGCTGGAACTTCAGACCCACACCCCCAACCTCCAAGTAGGGGAAGCGGGGGTGAAGGTTGAGTTGATCTCCAATAGCCAACAATTTAATCAACCATGCCCACAATAATGAGGCTTCCATAAAAACACAAAGAACTGGGTTCGGAGAGCTTCTGGATAGCTGAAGAAGTGGGGCCTCCTGGAGGGTGGTGCCCTGGGAAGGGCATGGAGGCTCTGCACCCCCTCCCCCATCTCGCCCTATGCACCTTTTCCATCTGGCTATTCCTCTGTATCCTTTGTAATAAGTGGGTCAACGGAAGTCAAGTGTTTCCCTGAGTTCTGTAGGCTGCTCTAGCAAATTAACTGAACCTGAGGAGGAGGTTGTGGGAACACTTGATTTGTAGGCAGTGGGTCAGGATAGAACATCACTTAATGATTCTCCTCCGTTTTTACTCCCGAGTTGTTTCTGCAGCCACCAGGCAAAATCCAGGGCAGGCTGAGAGCTGGCGCTTCCTGTGCTTTGTCGGAATTCAGGTGAGTCAGGAGGTGTCTGAGTGGAGAAATGTGTTTGCTTCTCTGCACTTTTGGCCCCCAGTCTTTTAAATAGCCTCCCAATCTTGTTGCAGCTTGCAATATCATTTCTCTTCTAAAAAATTTAAAAAAAAAAATTTCCTTATGTTCCCTTTCCCATCTTGGTTTCAGTTCTTCTTCTGTTTGCATTGATTTCCGTTTCAGCTAGGCAGCTTTCCTCCAATGTATGAAGATCCTTGGCTGCCTAGTCACACTGAAGAGCAAGGTATTTATAAGTGCTGCCTGATGGGAGGCAGAAGTGGGAGGATCGCTTGAGCCCAGGAGTTCGAGACCAGCCTGGGCAACACAGCAAGACCCCATCTCAAAACGAAACATAAAACAACAAAACGCTGCTGAGAGCGCTGTGTGTGAGGTGTTCCGGAGGTGTGCTGTCAGGGTGATGAGGCAGAGTGCCAGCCGCTCTACTGGAATAACCAAGTGTCTGCATTTATACATCTTTTCTCCTTGGCAGGCAAGTTTCCTCAGAAAGGAATCCTCCAATCTGGGCCCCATAGAGGAGAAGAGGTTGAGAGATCTCACCTTTCACTTGAAGAATTCCACTCACTTTCCCTGTTTTTCCACAAGAGACTCCATCCCTGCTCTCAGCGGTGCCTGTGGTCCCTGAGTCCAGAGCAGCACTGCCCACGGTCTCCAGCCACTAGCCACGTGTGGCTGCTTGAATTTAAACTCAATTTACAATTTAGTTCCTTGGTCACACTGGCCACATTTTAAGTGGCTGTTGAGCCACTTGCCGATGGACAATGCAGATATAAAACATTCCCGTCATCACAGAAAGTTCTAGTGCTGGAGACCAAAACACAGGTTTTATGCTTGGGGAGAAACACTTTCCAAAATACACTGTGGGAGGAGGGAATCTGGAAGTTTGATTATTCCTTATACAATCTTCTCATTAATTCTTTAATTTTCGATCCTGCCCTGAACCCAGCTTCAGAGGTACCTGAAGGTCCCCTTTAATTTTTTAATTTTTTTTTTGAGACAGAGTCTCACTCTGTTGCCCAGGCTAGAGTGAGTGCCGTGGCGTCAGCCTAGCTCCCGGCAACCTCAAACTCCTGGGCTGAAGCAATCCTCCTGCCTCAGCCTCCCGAGTAGCTGGGACTACAGGCATGCGCCACTATGCCCGGCTAATTTTTTCTATATTTATTAGTTGGCCAATTAATTTCTTTCTATTTATAGTAGAGACGGGGTCTCGCTCTTGCTCAGGGTGGTTTCTAACTCCTGACCTTGAGCAATCCTCCCGCCTTGGCCTCCCAGAGGGCTAGGATTACAGGCATGAGCCACTGCGCCCGGCCTAGGTCCCCTTTATTGAAACTTGACTCTTAACCACCCGCCACCCTAACACACACATGCGCAGGCAGTAGGCCTCAGCTCTCTGCTGCTAATTACCCCATGTCCCTCTGTCTTCTATCTTCCCCATCCTACTCCCTCACTATCGCTCTACTGTGTTTTAGCCAGGGAGCAGAGACAATACGTGTGCTCCATCTGCCATGTTAAACCTGAAGCCCTCCTGAGAATGTTCTTCACATCATTGGTGACAAAGGGAATGAGTAAAAGGTGGTCTGTTGTTTAGATCTGTCAAGCTTTGTCCAAGGTTTGCTCCTGTTATAGTTTTCACAGAATTTTTTCATCTCTGATTTTTCATATTCCATTGTTTTATTTTTTTCCCAAGGATTATTTGAGAACTTTCTATAGGCAAGACACTGTTCTAGTTGTAAGTTTTCTTACTTTACCCTGTTTCATGAAAAATACTGTTGCTAAACAATTCAGTGAAAGTTTAATAATTACGTATGGTAGCAAAACCTCATGAAGGCAAGGTTATTTTCATTTTTCTTTATCCACTATTATTATTACTGTTGTTGTTATTTTTGGAGACAGGGTCTCACTCTGTTGTCCAGGCTGGAGTGCAGTGATGTCATTACAGCTCACTGCAACCTCAAACTCCGGGGCTCAAGCAATCCTCCTGCCTCAGCCTCCCGAGTATCTGGGACTACAGGCACGTGCCGTCACCCTGACTAATTTTTAATTTTTTGTAGAGACAACATCTTGCTATCTCAGTTAGGTTGATCTCTGGCTTCAAGCAATCCTCCCCCTCAGGCCCCTAAAGTGCTGGGATTACAGGTATGAGCCACCACCCTTGGCTAGGCAAGGTTAGTTTCAACTGATTAAATATTAGTGTCCTTTACCCACAGCCTGAAGAGTCACCCCGTTGAGCTCATCCTATACAAGCTGAACCTGAGTCAACTTTAAGACCAGTGAGTATAAGAATAGATGTATGTGGCTATAAAGCACTGAGTTTGCAGTGGTTTGCTACATAGCATTATGTTGCAATAGCTGTGTAACACCACTGGAAAAGGGTCTTTACAGACATGACTGTAGAATTTTTTTTTCTCCTATATTTAGGAGAAAAAAAAGTCTCTACAATAGAAAGCTCTGTCTCATCACTTTCTGCGTTTTATCTAACGGTGTTGTTCTCGCATAATCTGCAATAGCAACACCACTGTGTTTTAGGATTTTAAGGAGTCATAAGCACATGCTGTAGGACACTCTCTAACATCACCACTGTTTTTTCCTTTCATTTGAGAAGGACATTTCATTAATAAGCAGTGACTGTTATACAAGTTACATCAAGATCTGTGTGCCTCTTTCCCAAAAGATAAATTACAAGCATTGTTACAAAAATCAGAGAGTATGTATTGTTTGCAAAATTCTTATGAGAGGAGTCCTTCTTTGCCCAGAATTATGTTTGCTTGCCTCTCAATGTTTCCACTGAGTTATGATAAGATGTCACTCAGGACCAAAAGTTTCTGCCCTGGGGGGTGTATAAAAAAGTTATTAATAGACCATCTCTCCATGGAAGCAGGAACCCACAGAACTTTGCTGTGGATTGTGGACTCCAAGGACCAAATGAACCACACTCTCTTGGACGTTCTGGCCTTGGACAGCAAGGGCACTGTGCCGAGAGCGGGAAGCAGTCTCTATTGACATTGTCCCGGACAGTGAATAAAGGCACAAGGTGAGCTCCTTTTGGCTGCTTTATCTCTTGGTGTACTGAAATTTTAGCTTCACTGGAATTGAAAGAATCAGAGAAAGGTCCAACCAGATCGGGGCAGCATCCCAGTATTTGGCAGATCCTAAAACAACACCTTAGTAATAAACACTAATTCTTTTTTTTTTTTTTTGAGACAGAGTCTCACTCTGTTGCCCGGGCTAGAGTGCTGTGGTGTCAGCCTAGCTCACAGCAACCTCAATCTCCTGGGCTCAAGCAATCCTCCTGCCTCAGCCTCCCGAGTAGCTGGGACTACAGGCATGCGCCACCATGCCCGGCTAATTTTTTCTATTTTTAGTAGAGATAGGGTCTCACTCTTGCTCGGGCTGGTCTTGAACTCCTGGGCTCAAATGATCCACCCGCCTCGGCCTCCCAGAGTGCTAGGATTACAGGCGTGAGCCACTGCACCCGACCAACACTAATTCTTAAAGCATATGAGCTTAGATTACTTTACAAATTAATATTCATATACATTAGAAAGACTGGAATATGCGTGTGTACTATATTTTTAAAAAACCCATGCTTTTTTTTTTTAAACACTACATTGAAACTCTTTATAAAGAAAAGGGCTAATACTAGTGCTGTTATGATTATCAGGGCTGTAATATCTCTTAAGGAAGCCATGTGTGTTCATCTGTCCGTTCGTTCACTCATATATGTAAAAACTGCGGAGGGCTGACCGTGTGCTGGGCACCAAGTTGAATGCTAGGAACACAGAGGTGGGCAGCCTTCAGAGGCGTTACCTGAAGTCGAGGGGGAGGCAGACAATTGGACGTTACCATCGGCATGGCCAGTGCTAACGGCTGAGAGGGATGACAGCGCCTGATCTCCCTAACACGGTGGTGGTGGTGGGGTGTCAAGGAAAGCTTTTAGACATAGAATTTAAATCAAGTCCGGATGTCTTTCAGTTCCTTGATGTACGCATTCTCTCTCTGTGACTACCATGGGCTTCGCAGCTCACCATGCACCAGGGGAACTGCTCCTGTGCTCAGGGACCCTCCGATGACACACACAGGCCACCTCTCTTTGGCCCGAGTGTCTGCACATCTAGGTGAGCCTGGCTTCCGTACTGTATTTGTTCCTTCATTCCTGCTCCTGAGCCTAACAATTACTGAAAGGAAATTTTTGCATTTGAAAATGCATGCTGTGTGAATGTAAGTGCTTCCTTCCTACTCTGCAAGTTCTTTAAACTCACTTTTCATGTAGTAAACTTCCTCAGAAGTAGAAATACTTGTACTTCCTAAACTGAGACAATGAACTAGCTAGTGGAAGACAAAACGGATTCCAGATACATCTGATAGGTTTCAAAAAGTGAAGGTACTTTATTTAAGTGGCCCTAGCCTGGTGTGTGTTCGTTTCAGACTGCCAGGTAAAGCCGTCCAACAGGTGTTAGGAGGCAGATGTTGCCCAAAATGCTTAGCCCTCAGGAAGAAAACATACCAAAATATATAGCTTGTTTCCCGGAGTATGGGCAACTGAGGGAAGTATTTTACCATCTACTACTATGATTTCTAAACACAATTTTAAAACTTTTACTGAATACCTACTACTGCAGACAGGGCTGGATATGGTGATAAAAGATAAATAAACCCTTGATGTATAAACCAATGCTCTTAATTTATTAGTTCAAGGCTAAAAAAGTCCTATAACTAATCTTATCCCCCCACAAGTCTTCCTTTTCTTTAGGGTTGAAGAGACTCATCACACCGAACTGAAGCAGGAACGTAGTGAGTGTAACTGGTGGCCAAAGCCTGCTGATTCTTCTGCCCTGTGTAGTTTCAAAGTTGTCTTCACTTTATCTTTGGCACCAGTTTCCTTTAGGCCGACAGAATTTGTCATCTTAACTACTGTAATGACACAGGAACTCATCTTTCTGCCATAGTTTTGGCCCTTTCCAATCCAGCCTTGTTTAACTGCTGCTCATGTGATCACTCAAAACACAAAAGATGCATGAAATCCTTCAGTGTCACCCAAGCCTTCAGGATGCCGCCAAACACTCTTGCACAGCGCACTGCCTTGTCTTGTCTCACTGTTGTCGCTCCGCTACCAGGAGCACTCTGTGTTCCAGCCACAGCTGCCCATGCCCTTTTTGGAAAGCCCCAAGCATCCTCATGCCTTGGTGTCCTCGTCACAAGCTCATCCCAGGCTGCGTCTCCTCAACTCCTGCCCATGGCCTTCAATTAATTTTCTCCAGCCTCCACTTTTTTTATTTTTATTTTAGCATATTATGGGGGTACAACTGTTAAGGTTATGCATATTGCCCATGCCCTCCCTCTCCCACTCCCCCCACTTTTTTATTTCACACAAGTTTGAAAAGTTGTAAGACTAGTACCATAAACACCTATATGCCCTTCACTTGCACTCACTGGTTGTTAATATTTGCCATATTGTGCTTACTTGCTCTTTCCTGTCACAAACACACACACACACACACACCTTGGTGGTCTTGTGAGAGTAAGTTGCAGACGTTATACTTTACTCTTACACTCTTCAGCACGTACCTCCTAAAAATAGGACATTCTCTTACATAACCACAATACAACGATCATGCTCAGGAAACTGAATGCTAAAATTTAATTTGAAGATGCAGTTGATATTCACATTTCTCCCCAACTGGCTTTTATTTATCTCTGAAGATTAAACTCTAGGAAAATGACATGACCTTTTCACACACACACAATGCATTGGTTGTCTGTCTTCTACAATTTTACTACCTTTTGTATACTTCTATTGAAGTGCTTATAACATACTATCACATTGTCTATTTTATTTTCTGTGGTATCTGAAACTCAACTAGACTCATTTTAATTCCTAATTTGTAGGATTATATATTACCTGGCTCGAGATGATGGCTGAATGGATAAACGAACGAATGAATGAACTGTGATATTCAAGATTCTCATTCCACTCTCATTATAATTGGCCAGTGTGTGTCTCAGAACATTCTGGGCGGAACCTCATGTGTTTTTAACTTCACCTCTTATTTCAAACACTGCCGTGGTGCCCAGTCCTGTGCAGGCTTCTACTACCCTTGCACACACACACCCTGACGACATCTTGCTTTGGCCATGTAACTCGTTTCTGGCCTCAAGGCTACGTCGGTGCTGTGACATAGGATTGCCCTGGGAACCACGGGGCACTCAGGTAGGTACAATCTGGAAACGGTGGGGCGTGGGGGAGAGGGGTAGTGAAGGCCTTGTAAGGTCACCCTTGACCACTGAGGGGCAGGAGCTCACAGAAAAACGCTTTCCTCATTTTGATCCCAGGGTGGCCAATTCTGAGGCGCATTTGATAAGGTAGTAAGTAGTAGAGGAGTAAGTAGCAGATATTCGTAATGGCTGCCAGTTTGAGAAAGATCCTTGGACTGGCTTTCCCTCCCTCCCGGGGCCATTCTTCTGTCCCGCACAGTCTGTTTCTGGGTGTCACATTCCCAAATAAACTCCCTACTTCCAAGTCTTTGGTACAGGCTTTGCTTTCGGGACAGCCCAGACTAAGGCAGTGTGGTAATTAATGTAAAAAGACCATGGGCTTGGCCAGGCTCGGTGGCTCACGCCTGTAATCCTAGCACTCTGGGAGACCGAGGCGGGTGGATTGCTCAAGGTCAGGAGTTCGAAACCAGCCTGAGCAAGAGTGAGACCCCGTCTCTACTATAAATAGAAAGAAATTAATTGGCCAACTAATATAGAGAGAAAAAATTAGCCGGGCATGGTGGTGCACGCCTGTAGTCCCAGCTACTCGGGAGGCTGAGGCAGCAGGATCCCTTGAACCCAGGAGTTTGAGGTTGCTGTGAGCTAGGCTGACTCTACGGCAGCATTCACTCTAGCCTGGGCAACAAAGCGAGACTCTGTCTCAAAAAAAAAAAAAAAAAAAGACCATGGGTTTGGGAGCCAGACGGACCTGAATTTGAATCCAAGTTTGCTCATTCACTATCCATGACCTTGGGCAGGTAATTTAATGTCCCTCAGCCTCACTTTCCTCATTTTATAACGAGGATAATACTTACTTTGTAGGATTATGGTAATTAGAAATTCTCTTTCTATATATATATTTATAATATATACACACACAGGATATATATATAAATTCCTAGAGTAATGACTATAATAAACCATGTTGAGTCTGTCCAGCGTAGGAGCCATCCTCACCCTTCCCATGTCTCTTAAAATTGACTGCCCCTCCCCTCAGATTCCTGGGGGTGGGTTCATGTGCTCACATCTTTACTAGGTTGTGTGATCTGCCCCCTCTCGCCATAGCTAATTGCACTATGAATAGATCCTTTCTCTGGAGAAGAATAGGCAGTTATCTCTCTTATGGCTTTAGCTATAAAATGTATATCCAAGATCTGTGGAGGGGCCATATTTTGGCACATGGATGAAGAAGCACAAAAATCTGGTCTCCAGAAAGCAACAAAATAGAAGTGTAAGAACTTCATGAACCAGCAGAGACAAGAGACAGAGGACACAAAGACAAAGAACTTCTTGGAGTTTTGATGGCTTCCAGTTCCAGTCTGTTCCCTGGTTGAGGCCTAGCTGCATTCTTCCACCTACATCCCTCTTTTGCATTGGCTGATTTTGGTTGCTCTTATTAGCAACCAGAGTTCTAACTAATGCATTGAATACTACATTAATACATAGACTAAAAAATGCCCAGAATTATTTTTTAAAATAATCATCCTAAATTTAGGAAAAGATAAACCACATTTCTATAATACAGTCAATCCAAATTTCAGGAAGAAATTCTCAACCCATGAGTAAGAAGCTCGAGAAAACTAGTTTAGATATCAATAATTTATCAGAATACGTTGCTTTGTTTATACCTAAGATTTTCAAAGCTTTGCGACCTCAAAAGCAGTCTTTATTCAGAAACTTCTATTACTTACCACAATCCCTATAATCAAAAGGGAATGGATAAGGATTATTATGCTTGAAACCTTAATCTGTGTGCATCTTAACAAGATACACCAGGTTACTCATATAGTTAGTGGGAAACGAGAATTATTCAAAAGAAAAGTTCTACTTTCTCAATGGGAGAAGTGTCAAAAAACTGCAGACCTCTGAAAAAGCAGCTTTCGGAAGCTGGCGCCACAGTTGTCAATAAGCAGGAGACACCAGCATATCTTCAAAGAGAGAATTCACTAAAACAAGTTACTGAATCCTTGAGACACTGAAATTAACTTAATTTACTTACACAACAAATTAAAGAGCAATAATTGTATAATATGTTTTTCTAGTCTAATATAATTTGCACTGAATTCCACATTTTCTTACGGCTCCTTTCCCATGTTTTCATCTTTATTTTATGCAAAGTAGTGTTTTTATGGAAAAAAGTTGTCCCTAAATCCCATTAAAAGTTCCTTGGGTGTTGCACATCATACAAATAATGTAATTGATAAGAATTCAGCACTACACGTAATCGTAGTGATAATATGTACCAGTTCCAGGGCTAAAAAAACAATGCCTCACCTGTGTTCCTTTGCTTATTTGTTAATGTATTTATTTTTTTATTTATTTTTTGAGACAGAGTCTCGCTTTGTTGCCCAGGCTAGAGTGAGTGCCGTGGCGTCAGCCTAGCTCACAGCAACCTTAAACTCCTGGGCTCAAGCGATCCTCCTGCCTCAGCCTCCCGAGTAGCTGGGACTACAGGCATGCGCCACCATGCCCGGCTAATTTTTTATATACATATCACTTGGCCAATTAATTTCTTTCTATTTATAGTAGAGACGGGGTCTCGCTCTTGCTCAGGCTGGTTTTGAACTCCTGACCTTGAGCAATCCGCCCGCCTCGGCCTCCCAGAGAGCGAGGATTACAGGCGTGAGCCACCGCGCCCGGCCAATGTATTTATTTTTGAGACAGAGTCTCTCTCTGTCACCCTGACTAGAGTGCCGTGGCATCGTGGTAGCTCACTGCAACCTTAAACTCCTGGGCTCAAGCGATCCTCTTGCCTCAGCCTTCGGAGTAGCTGGGACTACAGGCACGCATCACTGTGCCCAGCTAATTTTTTCTATTTTTAGTAGAGACGAGGATCTTGCTCTTGCTCAGGCTAATCTCGAACTCCTAACCTCAAAGCATCCTCCCGCCCTGGCCTCCCAGAGTGCTAGGATTACAGGCAGGAGCCACTGCACGCAGCCTTTTATGTATGTATGTATGTATGCATGTCTGTCTCTGTTTGTGTGCCTGGTCTCAGGGAACAAGCCTCTGAAGGCCAAGATCATGCTCCTTGGCTCTTTGTGTGCCCACTGCCTAGCACTGTGCTCTGCCCATAGCTGGCTCCGATAAGGATCCTAGATTTATCGATTCACCTTGGAGATAAAAGGGCTTTGGCGGGAGGTCATCTAACTCAATCCTCTAAGCACCCATCCTACTTCACACCAGCAACCAGCTTTTGCAAAAACACCTCTCTAGGTCAAGACAAATGATTTCACTAACCATGACAAAGCTAATTATCACTTGATTCTTTCTTAAATCCAGTCCAACTTTGCCCCTTTTTAGTCTTGTACCTAATGGTTCTACTTCTAACCTACGGATTTATATAGAATAAAGTTAATGGAAAGAGCAGGGGATGTTGGGGAGAGGGTGAGACATGGAACAGGATGGATCTGAACCTCAGGTCTATCAATTCAGCATGTGTTACCGTGCTCTTTGATTCTAGAACAGCTATGCAGTGCCCCTGAGGTTCCTGCGCTCGGCTCCCTCCTTTTTTCACATGTCTGGCATATCTTGTGTACGCCTGAGAAGGATCCATGCTAAAATTGTAATGACATATATACCTAAATTAGCATCATACAACTTCCAAAAACCGAGCCTATGCAAGAGCTATTAAAAAAGGGATAATGAAGAGAACAGGATTTGAGTTGCTGCTTCTTGTGTTTCCCTTGGAGCCTTCCCAGGCAAATATGGAACAGAAAGCTTTTCTTGCAAATTCGGACTCGTGGTAGTCTGGAAATTTAACCCTTGCTATCTTGAGACTTGCTACCTTGATTCCCTGATTACATTTTTCAATGATAAGGTTAAAAAAAAAAAACAAAAAAACAATATTCTAGACACTCTGTTCTCCATAATTTGATCCAATTCAGTTTATATTCACTTGGCAAAAGTGAACAGTGCTGAATTTTAAGAACTAGTGTCTATATCTTACATCTCTTTCTTAGCCAAAATCATAGAGTTTAAAACCATTTGCTCACCAAGACCTCAGCAGAAAATTTTTTAAAAAAATAATTGAAAACATAATTCATGTAAAAAGTAGATAAATTTTTTTAGAGATGACAAAATGTTCAGTTTTGCTGGCTTTAGAGAAATATGAATTAAAATGGCTAGGCTTTCAGCAATAATACTAGTTCTTAGTGAAATGCCAAATCTGCATCTAATAGCCATGGGCTGTGATATCTCTTTTTTCCCTCCTCCAAGATATTTTGACAGATACAATCAAATCTCACCAGTATCCCACAAATATTGCTAATGTTGCCTTCGAAACTAGCTTTCTTTTCTTTATTCCAGTAGAACAGTGGTTTTCAAGTGTGATCTGGGACCAGGTTCATTAGCACCACCTGGGAACTTGTTAGAAATGCAAATTCTTGTCCATCCCCCACCCCTACCACCAACTGAATTAGAAACTCTGAGGTTGGGGCCTAGCAATGGTTTTTTTTTTTTAAACAAGCCTCCAAGTGACTCAGATGCATGGTAAAATTGGAGAACCACCAGTGCAGACTGGATTATAATCTCCTTGAGGGCAAGAATCAAACTTGAAGGTTAACCCTGGCATGTGGCACATGATAGGTGTTCAAAATGTGTTGAATGAACAAATGGCCTACATGCTGCTGAATGTACCTGGGTGGGGTGGAGGGCAAAACTGTCCCTAGTTGACATGCACAGCCTTAGATCATTCCTGACCAACCTGGATTAGGCACTTGCCTCACTCCAAGGCTTGCTGCTTCCTGTGCTTCTAGAATGGCCAGGGAAGCACAGTGAGGGAGAATTGCTTCCTCACCATTAACAATTGCCATCTACAAGGCAATGGACTATTGCACAGGTTAAACTCCCAATCTGGGTCAGACTGCCCGTGCTTCAATGCTGGTTTACTAGTTTTGTTTCTTCGAGCACTGAATTTAGATAACTGTCAAAACTATGAAATGATGGAGGCCAGACTCA